TCTAAACTTATTGGTAAAACATCTATGTGTTGTTGTTAGGTGAGGTTGAGTTGGTTCTGACTCATAGAGACCCTTGTACAACTGAAGGAAACACCACCCAGTCCTACGCCATCCTCACAACTGCTGGTACACGTGAGCCCATTGTTGTTGTCACTGTGACAATCCATTGTGTTGGGGTCTTCATCATTTTTGTTGACCATCCACTTTACCAAGCATGATGCCCTTCTCCAGAGACTGGTCCTTCCTAGTAATATGTTCAAAGTATGAGAAACGAAGTCTGGCAATGCTGGCTTCTAAGGAACATTCTGGTTGTACTTCTTCGAACACAGATTTGTTTGTTTTCTTAGTAGTCCAAGGTACCTTTACTATGCTTCTCCAACACCATCACTCAAAGGCACCAATTCTTCTGCGGTCTTCCTTATTCACTGTCCAACTTTCATATATATATGAGGGTATTGAAAATGCCGTGGCTTGAGTCAGACTCACCTTAATCCTCAAACTATCACTATGCTCTTGAACACTTTAAAGAAGTCTTGTGTAACAGATTTGCCTAACGCAATGTGTCATTTGATTTCTTGACTGCTGCTTCAGTGAATGTTGATGGTGGAGCTAATGAAGTCATTGACAACTGTAATCTTTTCTCCATTTATCATGATGTTACTTATTGATCCAGTTATAAAGATTTTTGTTTTCTTCACATTGAGTTGTAGCCCATAGTGAAGGCTGTAACCTTTGATCTTCATCAGCAAGTATTTTAAGTGCTTTTCACTTTTAGCAAGCAAGGTTGCACCATCTGCATATCACAGGATGTTAATGAGTCTTCCCCCAATCCTGATGTAACTTTCTTCTTCAGTTTCTCAGATTATTTGCACAGCATACAGATTGAATAAGTATGGTGAATGAATACAACCCTATCCTGATTTTAAACTATCCAGTATTCCCTTGTCCTTTTCAAATGACTGCCTCTTGTTCTATGTACAGGTTCCTCATGAGAACAATGAAGTGTTCTGGAAAACCCATTCATCCAAATGTTCTCCATACCTGTCATGACTCACATAGATGAAAGCCTTTGCATAGGCAATAAAGCCCAGATAAACATCTTCCTGGTATTCTCTGCTTTCAGCCAAGCTCCATCTGCCATCAGCAATGATATCCACGTCAATGTACTACTGCAGCCATTTTTTAATTAGCTTGGTAAAAATTAATTATTGCCCTATGATTTCCACATTCCACTGGGTCACCTCTCTTTGGGATTGGCACAAATAGGGATCTCTTCCAATCAGTTGGCCAAGTAGCTTTCATCCAAATTTCCTGGCACAGATGAGTGATTGCCTCTAGTGCTGCATCTGTTTGCTTAAAGATTTCAATTTGTATTCCATCAATTCCCAGCACCTTGTTCTTTGCCAATGCTGTCAGTGCACCATGGACTTCCTCCTTCAATAACATTGGCTCTTGATCATATGCTACCACTTGAAATGGTTGAACACTTACCATTTCTTTTTGGTACAGTAACTACCTATAGCCCTTCCATCTTCTGTGTTTTCCTGTATCATTCAATAGTTTGCCTGTAGAATCCTTCAATATTTCAAATCGAGACTTGAATTTTTTCTTCAGTTCTTTCAGCTTGAGAAATGCTGAGTGTGTTCTTCCTTTTGGTTTCCTAATTCCAGGTCTTTGCACATTTCATTATAATACCTGACTTTGTCTGCTTGAGTTACCCTTTGAAATTTTCTGTTCTGTACTGGAGAGTAAACTTCAGAGTCTCTTCATACTCCAGTTTGGCTGTTTCTCCTCATTTTCATTTGTGCCCCATCAGCAAATGAAGACCCCAAAAACTTACTCTACTTGGATTATTTCAGTCAAGTCTACTTTGAGGAGGCAGTTTTTCTCCTGTATTTTGAGCGCCTTCCAACCTGAGGAGTTCATCTTCCAGCACTGTATCTGGCAATATTCTCGGGCTGTTCAGCATGTTTCTATAGTCGATATTCTAGTGCTATCTGACAGTGTTTCGCTGCTATTTATAAGGTTGTCAGTGGCTAAGCCTTTGGACGTAGTCTGCCTTTCCTTCTTCCTAGTCTCCCTTAATCTAGAAACTCAGTTGAAACCTATTCACCCTGGTAACCCTGCTCATCTTTAAAATTGTGGTGGCATAGCTTTCAGCATCACAGCAACACACAAGCCACCACAGTACAACAAACTGTCAGACAAATGGTGGGTGTTATGAATGGTGGTGGTGGTTATGTGCCGCAGAGT